GCCTGGTCTTCGCTGTCGCTGGTGCTCCGCAAGGCCAGCGGGCTTTTGTTTGCCTGGCCGCCGCGTGAGCTCCTGCGCGACAAGGTGCAACCTTGCTTGGCGAGGTCAGCCCAGGCGGGGAGGGCGCCCGCGCCCCCTCCTGGCCCGGCCCTGGGCTGCTGCGGCGGCAGCGGGAGGCCCGCGGACGCGCAAGCGGCCGCCAGGGCCAGGGGGTGCTCGGCCTCCTCTGGGTCGCCCAGCGCGGCCAGGCCCGCGTGGGCTCGCGCCTCCGAGGGGCTCTGGGTCCAGGGGCCGACCCGCGCCGCCGGTGCGAGTCGTTCCTGGCCGCGGAGGCCGCCCAAGCGTGGCGGGCGCCAGGGCTGCGCGCGCCCGGGCTCCGCGCGCGGGCCGCCGAGCCAGGCGCTCGCTGGCTGCTGGGGGGGCCTCGTCGTAGCCCGCTGTGTTCGTCGGCGAACTTCTCCAGAGTACGTGGGTGGACTTCCCCGTTCCGCAGCGGCGCAGCAACAGCGCGGTCGCCTGCGGCGTGGGCGGGGGCGGCGAGGGCAGCCCCGCGAGCAAGCTCTGGAGATTGGCGGCGCTCCCCGCCGCGCTGGCGCAATGCTCCGCGGCGAAGCCAGCGGTCGCCGGCGCTGCCCCTCCTTCGCCCCCCGCGCCAGGGAGGGCCCCGGGCGTCGGCGCGGCCAAAAACGCCCCAGCTAACGCGAGCCCCCGCGGGCGCCAGTTGCCGCCCGGGCCGCCCGGGCATGCCGCCCCCGCGAACCAGGCCCGCGTCTTGGCGGGTTCCAACGCGAGGCCAAGCTCGCCAGGGGCCCGCTGCGCAGCGGCTGCCAGCGCCGCGGGGGCGACCGCGGCTGCGTCGTCCAGGTGGGCCATCGCGCGCGCGTCATCAGCCCGCAGCCCCGCGCGCTCCGCCCCGCGTGGCCCCTCCAGCTGGCGCAGCTGTAGTCTCGCTCCGCAAGCGTAGAGTCGAATGGCGGCGCCAGCGGGGCGCCCTGGTCGACGCCGCTCGCGGCTGTCAGGCGCCTGCAGCGGCCGCTTCCGAACTGGCGCAAATCCGATTAGCGCGCCAACATCGAAGCTCTGCGACGGGGGGGAGAAAGGAGCTCGCGACCTCCTGCTCGGCGAGGCACGCGGCCCGGCGCGGAGGACCGTAGGCGCTCCTCGCGTCGAGGCCGTGAGGGCCCGGTCTGGGCGAGACTCGGCTAGCGCCCGCGCCGCGTGCGCGAGGTGCTCCGCGCTGCCCGCCGTGCAATTTGCGAACTGGCGCCCCCGACCTCGCGACGACCTCCATCCGCGAGTGCGGCAGCGCCCGCCGAGCCAGCCGGCGGGGCGAACTCGGCGCCGCCGCGACGGGCCGAACGCCGCCCGCCGGCTTCCGCAGCGGCGCGAGTCGCGACGCGAAAGCGCCGGCCGCGCCGGCCGCCAGCGCCGCCGCCGCGCTGCCTGGGGCGCGCCACAGCGCGAGCCAGTCGCAAACCCCGCCGGGCGCGTGCTCGTGCTCGCGGCGCCCCCCGCCTGCCGCCGCTCCGCTGCCATTCGGGCTCGCGCGGAGAGCCTTCTCGGGCGCCCAGTGGCTCAAACAAGATGCCGGCTGGCCCCCGCCGGCGCGTGGCCACTGGCTCCGCGAGCCGCGGCTGGAGCAGCGCCTGCAGCCGCCCCCCTGTCTCATCAGTGAGCGGGGCGTGTCTGGGGCTCGCCAGCGGAAAATTTTGCGAGTCACCTCGTCCGCCATGCGCGCGGCCTCGCCCCATTGGTCGCTGCCCCGCTCCAGGCGCGCGCGCGGGCAAGAAGGCGCGCGCGCCCGTCAGCCCTGTGCGGGAGCTCCGCCCAGGCCCCCTGCGAAGCCTCGAGCAGCGTTCGTGGGCCAGCTTGGCGCGGTCCTGCTCGTGGCTGCCTGGCGGCCGCCTTTGCCCGCCGCCTCGAGCGCGCATCGGGGCCGCGGCTTCCAAGCCATGTCCTCCCCGCTGTCGGGCAGCGCCCGTGCGGCGGCTCGGCAGATTTCCTCAGCGACCTGCTCCGCGGCGGCCCGCGCCCCTCCTGGCGCGCGGCGGAGCGCGGGGCAGTCAATCAAGAAACCCAGACCACACCGAACCTGTCCAGCCAGCGCGGGGGCGGAGCCAGCGGCGGCAGGCCCAGCGCCGGGCGCGATCGCAGCGGCGCCGGCGGGCAACTCCTGGGCGGCACCTGCAACGGTGCCCGCCGCGGCCGCTGCGGCGGCCGCGGCGGAGGCCCGGCAGAGGAGCGCGTCGCAGGGCTGGAGCCGGGCGCCAAGCCTGCTCCCTTCGGGGCAGGTCGTCCAGGCCCCTCGCTGCGCGCAGGGGGGGGCCTGACAGCCAGAGCAGCCCAGCGACGCTCCAGCTTGCCCGGGTTTGCGGGCCTCGCCGTAGCCGCAGCGCCGCCGCAGCGGCTGCAGCCGCGGGTGCTTCAGTGAGGGCCGCGGCTCCGCGCGCCAAGAGTCCGGGCGGGCGGCCATGCAGGGCGCGCGGCTGCGGCGGCCTCCCCGCGAACTCTGCGCGAACGGCGGGAGGCCTCGAGGAGGGCTTAGTCGTCGTCCGCCGCGCGGTCGAGCTCCCCGAGCAGGGCGTCCTACTCGCTGAGGTCCTCTCAGAGGCTGGCCCCGGCCGTCGCTCAGCAGCTCGTCGCTCGGGTTGTCGCCGAGTTCGGCCTCTGAGTCGGCGCCTCGGCCGCGCGGGGCAGGCGGCTCCGCCTCGGCCGCGAGGAAGGCGGCGTGCGTCGCGGCCATCGCCGCCAGCAGCGACTCCGGCGCGCCGTCTCAGGTGATCGCCCCGGTCCCGACCTGCTCTGGCAGCTCGCGCGTGGTCTGCGCCAGGCCCGCAAATTCCGCGGCGGGTGTGGGCGCAGGTCGCCGCGCCGCCGCTCGCTGAGCCTCTTCCTCCGTTCGCGCCGCGGCCTGGGCTGCAGCCACCCTCGTGCGGGTTTCCTCTGGGTGGCGCTGCTCGGCCGCCAGTGCTTTCTCCGCGGCGTCCGCCGTCGCCGAGGCTCGCGCTGCGTCGCCCGCAAGCCGCCCAGGCGGCCGCCACAGCGCCTGTCCGCCCTGCCGCTGCCGCGCACCGCGTTCTGCCGCCAGAAATGGCTGGACGGCCGCAGCCGGGGCCCCAGCGCGCTTGGTCGCAGCGGCCGCCTGGCGGAATGGTTCGCCTGGCAAGGAACCGGGCGCCTGGCAGGGCCGGCCAGGCGTCGCCCGCGCGGCCCTCGGGGGTAGCCGGCGGCGGGGGGGGCGGGCACCTCGTCCTCCCCCCGGCGCGGGGGGCGCCGCAGTACTGGCGGCACGGCCCGCGGTCCTCGAAGGTGCACGTGCCGCACGTGCAGCGCCACTCCGCTCGACGCCCCAGAGGCTGGCGGCGGCCTCCAGCGCCGAAGGGGCCTGCGAGGACCTGCTGCGCCAGCGCCTGCTGCGGGCGGCCGCCTCCGCGCGTGCCGCGGCGCTGGGTCCCAACTCCAGCAGCTCCAGCCCCACCTCCTCCTCCTCCCCCTCCAGCTGCTCGTGGTCCTCCTCCTCCTCCTCCTCCTCCTCCTCCTCCTCCTCCTCCTCCTCCTCCTCCTCCTCCTCCTCCTCCATCTCCTCATCCTGCTGCTCCTCCTCCTCATACTGCTCCTCCCCGTCCCCCTAGGTACTTTCCTGCCAATCCCCCGTCCTGCTGTCCCTGCCCCTTCCCCTCCCTCTCCACATGCTCCTCCTCACCCTCTCCTCCTCATCCACCTCCTCCTCCTCCGCAATTGCACAATATGAAAACTACGCCCTTCTACCCCGAAGACGCCCGTGAGGTGTCCTGGTCTCCTCCGCGTATTGTATTTTACACACAGGATGCCGCCGAATTGATGATACATATGTGATTTGTTCCCATCCGAGCGTGTTCTGTCCTTTCAGAATGGCGTTCCCGCTCCAGCGTTGGCTTCATTTTCTTGTTTCCAGTCCTTCCAAACCATGTTCCCGCTATAGCGCTGACCTCATTTCACTGTTCCGGTTCTTCCAAATCGTGAGACTGCTGCAGCGTTGGTTTCGTTCCCACGCTTCCAATCCTTCCAAATCGTGTTCCCACTGCAGCGGTGGTCTCAATTCCGCAGTGTCGGTCCTTCGAACCTTCGAAATCGCGCTCCCACTGCAACGCCGATCTCATTTGTCGCTTCCCGCTTTCCAAACCGTCCATTTGCATGTCCCGTCCCGTGACATTTCCGGTTTCCCTCTGACCTTGTTGTCGACACGAGTCGAGTCCTCGACGCGATGCCATGCTATGCCGTGCTGTAGCATGCATCGCGTACCCTCTCGGGATCATTGCCCCGCTCGACATCCGCCTGCACGCATGGAGAGAAGATCTACGCAGTGGTAAGGGATGAGAGGGATGCGCAGGACCTCAGATATGACGCCTGCGTACCTAGCTTGTCGTCCCTCTCCTCTCCCTCCTCCTCCTCCTCCTCCTCCTCCTCCTCCTCCTCCTCCTCTCCTCCTCCTCCTCCTCCTCCCCTCTCCTCCCCTCCTCCTCCCTCCTCCTCCTCTCCTCTCCTCTCCTCCTCCCTCCTCCTCTCCTCCTCCTCCTCCTCCTCCCTCCTCCTCCTTCCTCCTCCTCCTCCTCCTCCTCCCTCCTCCTCCCCTCCTCCTCCTCCTCCTCTCCTCCTCCTCCTCCTCCTCCTCCTCCTCTCCTCCTCCTCCTCCCTCCTCCTCCCCTCCTCCTCCTCCTCCTTCCTCCTCCTCCTCCTCCTCCTCCTCTCCCTCCTCCTCCTCCTCCTCCTCATCCTCCTCCTCTCTCCTCCTCCTCCTCCCCTCCTCCTCCTCCTCCTCCTCCTCCTCCTCCTCCTCTCCTCCTCCCCTCCTCCTTCCTCCTCCTCCCTCCTTCATCCTCCTCCTCCTCCTCTCTACTCCTCCTTCTCCTCTCCTCCCCTCCCCTCCTCCTCCTCCTCCTCCTCCTCCTCCTCCTCTCCTCCTCCTCCCTCCTCCTCCTCCTCCTCCTCCTCCTCCTCCTCCTCCTCCTCCTCCTCTCCTCCTCATCCCCTCTGCGGCGCGCCCCGCTCCAGCTTCAGAGCGGCGCGGGCTGCCTGGGGGCCCGGCCACAGCACCTCGCCGTCGCAGAGCAGGGGGCCCAGCCAGCTGCCCAGATGCGCCCGATCTCGGTCCCTGGGGGGCAGGGGAGGAGGAGGAGGAGGAGGAGGAGGAGGAGGAGGAGGAGGAGGAGAGGAGGGAGGAGGAGGAGGAGGAGGAGGAGGAGGAGGGGGAGGAGGAGGAGGAGGAGGAGGAGGAGGGGGGAGGAGGAGGAGGAGGATGAGTGAGGAGGAGGAGGAGGAGGAGGAGGAGGAGGAGGAGGAGGTGGAGGAGGAGGAGGAGGAGGAGGAGGAGGAGGGAGGAGGAGGAGGAGGAGGAGGAGGAGGAGGAGGAGGAGGAGGAGGAGGAGGAGGAGGAGGAGGAGGAGGAGGAGAAGGCAGATGGGGTCCGAGTGGGTGGGGTCGGAGGATCGCGCCGCATCGGCAATCCATCGGCGATGCCTCTGCAACGTCGGCGGGGCACCGTCGGCGCCAGCGCGGAGAAAACGGGCCTCGGCATCGAGCCGCATCGCCGATGCCTTGGCGGCGCGGCGCGGTCCTCCGTCCCCATCGGCTCGGAGGGGGGGGGGCGCTCGTCAGGAGAGGGCCTCGCGTTCGAGGGACCCCAGACCTCCTCGGGCCGCGAGGAATTACGACGGGCGGTTTGGCCATCGTCCAGACTCTGGGGGGCCCTCGCCAGGCCCTGGGCTGCCAACAAAACGACTCAGGGTTAAAAACTGGCCCCGGGGCAGGGGTCCAGACTTCTGGGGCGCCGCGCTGCGTCGCGCTGAAGGGTTGGCGCCTCTTCTCGCGCGGCAGCTGGCGGAAGAAAGGGGTGCGGCTCCGCAGGCGGAAGGCCGGCGGAAGCGAACAGTGCGCCCCGAGGGGAGGACAACTTTCTGGGGGGCTCAGGGTTTCCGGAGCCGGCCATATGAGGGGAGGGGGCCCAGAGCCTGGGAAAACGGGCCCTGGATCCCAAGGTGAGCTTCGAGGATCTATGATCACATATCCGCCGCCATGCCTTCGGCACGCAGTGGAATGTCCCGGGACTCATGCGGCCCCGAGACGTAATGGGTTTCCAAGGCCCTCAAGAGCCCGGAATCCCAATTCCCCAGGCGTTCCTGAGCGCCACTGGGCGCGCCAGGAGTGTTTCGTGTGGGCCTCCAGGGCGCTGACGCAGTCCCAAACGATCCGAAATAACATATTCGTCAGAAGCGCCCAAGAGTATCCAAGAGCACCCCGAGACGGCCCCAGAAGGCACCAAGACTGGCCGCGATACCCTCCAGACGCCCCAGACGCCTCCAAGACGCCGCAAGAGGCCTCCGACAGCACTCCCAAGAGGGCCCCAAGAAGGTGCACCTGTAGATTTCCATGTGTCTTTTGGAAGATTTTGGTGTCCTCGCCTTTTCGGCTCCCCGCCGCTCCAATACGGCTCATGAAGCCTCCAATGTCACTCCAAGATTCCCCAAGACGCCTCTAAGAGGGCCTAACAACGGCTCAGGAGAGCGCCGAGACGGCCCAAGAGGCCTCCAAGACGGCCCCGGGGGCCCAGAGGGGGGACCCGAACAGACAGATCGAGCTTTCCACCCAAAGACGCCCCCCCAGAGGCCCCGAGAGGCCCAAACCCCAAGAGGCTCCAAAAATGTCCCGAGAGACTCCGAAGAGACCTCCAAACTACCCCCCCCAAAGTCCCATGAAGCTGTCCGAAGAGACCCTCAGGATCCCTCAAGCCTCGTCGTCGTCCTCTTCCTCCCCCTCCTCCCCGTCCCGTTCGATCGCGAAATACGCAGCTCGGCTTCTCAAGGGGAGATGCCGTGGGTTTCGCGGGATATCTCGACAATTTGTTTCGTTGGTTTCGTTGCATTTCTCTGCGGTTATGCGTCGTCATGCGTAGTATTCCTGAACCTCTTCCGTTGTTCCAAACTATCCTGTGTTGAATTGGGTCGTCATTTTGAAAATACGGTGCCCCGCGTCCTCCTCCTCCTCCTCCTCCTCTTCCTCCTCCTCCTCCTCCTTCTCCTCCTCCTCCTCCTCCTCCTCCTCCTCCTCCTCCTCCTCCCCTCCTCTCCTCCTCCTCCCCAGCCTCCCTCCTCCCGTCACCCCCTCACTTTGGCACACCCCTCACACGTTTCGTAGCCCCATAGGGAGCTCTACCGAAGGCCCCAGCGGCTGCATTCAAATGCCGCCTCCTGTCCACTTTGGCACATTCGTAGCCCCATAGGGAGTTCCACCGAAGGCCCCAGCGGCTGCGTTCACATGCCGCCTCCTGTCCACCTTGGCACACCCTCACACGTTTCGTGGCACCATAGGGAGTTCCACCGAAGGCCCCAGCAGCTGCGTTCACATGCCGACTCCTGTCCACTTTGTGACACCCCTCATAGGTTCCGTGGGCAGATAAGGAGTTCCACCGAAGGCCCCAATGGCTGCGTTCACATGCGGCCTTCTGTCCACATTGGCGCACCCCTCACACGTTTTGCGGGCCCACAAGCAGCTCCACCGAAGGCCCCAGTGGCTTCGTTCGCATGCCGCCCCCCTCCACTTTGGCACACCCCTCACACGTTTCGTGACCCCATGGGGAGCTCCACCGAAGGCCCCAGTGGCATGGTTCGCATGCGTTCCCCCCCACCCAGTACAACGGTTCGTGGCCCCATAGGGATCTCCACCGAAGGCCCTAGTGGCGGTGTCCGCATGCGTTTCCCCCACCCAGTACAGCGTACCTTGGCCCCATAGGGAGCTCCACCGAAGGCCCCAGTGGCGGTGTCCGCATGCGCTTCCCCTACCCAGTCCAGCGTTCCGTGGCCCCGGAAGGAACTCCACCGACGGCAACAGTGGCGGTGTCCGCATGCGTGCCCCCCACCCAATACAAAGTTTCGTCGCCTCATATGGAGCTCCACCGAAGGCCTCAGTGGCGATGTTTGCATGCGTTTCCCCTCCCCAGCACAACGTTGCGTGGCTTCATAGGGAGCTCCGACGAAGGCCCCAGTGGTGGTGTCCGCATGCGATTCCCCCCACCAAGCACAATGCTTCGTGGCCCCATAGGAAGCTCCACCAAAGGCTGCAGTGGCGGCGTTCGCATGCGTCTCCTCCACCCACTACAACGCTTCGTGGCCCCATAAGGAGCTCCACAGGAGGCCTCAGCGGCGGTGTTCGCATGCATCTCCCCACCCAGTACAACGCTTCGTGGCCCCATAAGGGAGCTCCACCGAAAGCCGCAATGGCGACGTTCGCATGGCGGCCCCGCTCCATTTCGGCATACCCCTCACACGTTTCGTGGCCCCATAGGGAGCGCCCCCGAAGGTCCCAATGGCTGCGCCAGCATGCTTCCCCGCCCCATTTGGGCACATCCTTTGCACGCTTCGTGGCCCCATTAAGAGCTCCACTGAAGGCGATACCCACAACGGCGATATTCACAACTGCATCTGGTTTGGCCCTTCCCCAGGATAATGTCCTTCACGGTGCTCCCCCGTCCTCTTCTTTTGTCCATCCCTGTCCTTCACCACCCCCACCTCGTCTCATCTCCGCATCCTCCTCCTTTTCCTGCTCCTCCTCCACCCCCTCCCCTCCACCTCGTCCTCCCTTTTCCTCCTCCCGCACTTCTCCGCTTCAGCTCCTCTGTGGGCACGCTCGGGAGAAAGGAGAAGTAGAGAGAAGAACGGGGGCCGAACATCTGCGACGGATTCACTTGTTCACACACCTCCTCCTCCTTCCTGCTCCTCCTCGTCCTCCCTGATCCTGGAAGCCTCTAAGCCGCAGCGCAGGTGGCAGGATAGGCCGTGAGGTATTTCATGCAAACATGTATATATGTAGATGTGATTCGATACAGAAGCATGGCATGCACTTGATTATGTATCTCTCTCTCTCTCTCGCGCCCTCTCTCTCTCTCTCTCTCTCTCCTCTCCCCCTCCATATCTATATGTATATATGTGTGCATATACATGCATGCGTTCTTATACGCACCTCGCTGAGGGAGCCGGGCTCAGAGGCGATGACTTGAAGCAGCGTTCCTTTTTCCGGCTGTTTCGCTTGGGGCACCTTGATTCATCTAAAATTCGGGCGCGCCCTTCACGCAGATCGCGACGTCACGGTCCAAGCACATAGAATGCTGCAACAAGTGCAGAACGAACCCTCCAATACACAAGGACATTCAAGGCTGCTGCGCACGAGTCTTAGACAAAGCGGGCTTCACCTGAGACGTCCTTGCGAAATCGAGCCCCGATATACAACACGCACACATAACAAACATAACGCACACACAGCACACAACCCGCAGAACACACAACACACACAACACACACCAAACACAGCATACACTTCACACACAGCGCGCACAGAACACACACACACACACTCACAACACATCACACACAACACACATAACACATAACACATTACCCACAATACATATCAAAGGCAACATACAACCCACACAACACACAAAACACATACCATAACGCACACATGCACACACGGCACACATGCAGCAAACCCAATACACACGAACTTACCACACATAACGCCCACCTATCGCACACAGCACACTTTTACGTCGGCGGCGCAGAGGGCCCTCAAGCGTGGGCAGCAGATGAAAGTGCGAATTGCGATCGAGCATTGTCGAAGGCACAGTGTATGTGACGTCGCACACGGTAAAATACAAACGGTAGGTTCATACACAGCACACACACCGCTCACACAAACCACGCACACAGTACACGCAACATACACAACACGCAACACACGCAACAACACACACCACCTTGCACACACACACACACGCACAACACACAGCACCCGCACAACACACAGCACCCATACAACACGCACGCACCACACAAAACTAACACACAACACAAACCACACAATACAACCACCACACACACACGCACGCACACGTCACACAACACAACATGCACACATACACATCTCGCATCATGTGTTTGCACGGACCAAGGCACGCACGTGCCACTTGTAGGTATGCGATGACATGTGTGTCGGCAAATACTTATAGGCACGCGCGTGCCCGTGCAGTCAGGATATATGTGTATACATGTGTGTGTGTGTGAATATGTACATATATATATATATATGTATATATGTATA